CGCGCCATCCGGAAAGCCGGGTGCCCTGCTGGCCAGGACTGACACGTCTCGGCCTCACCTAGGCTGTATCTTTACACTTTCCCCTTCTATCTTAAAAAGGCTCTCCTGAATCTCCCCATCCCTCTGATTTGGGGCTTAATTTGACATAAAGTTCTGAGGTCACAATTATCATGTGCATATCTGCCCGCTTTTACTGGGTTTCCTTAGCAACAGCTTCATTAAGGAACTGCAGCCAGACGTTTAAAGAGGCTGTTCTATCTGAACGGAGTAGCCTGCACAAAATTCAAATGGCTCTGAGGAAAAAACTAACCAGAGACAAAGCGGTCGCGGATCATGAGCCAAAATGTTCTTCAAGCGGCCCAGAATCATTCCTGAGCATCAGGTCTATGGCAGGCATCAGTGCTGGGATGACTGCACACTGGCCCCACAGCACGCTCGCCAATCTGGTAAGCTGCTGGGCTTTCTCCAAGTTTCTCAATTTCTTACTACCACTTTCTCTTCTTGTCACCATTTTCTACTAATTAAGAAATTAATTTCAGCCACCTGGGTTGTCCGGGGAAAGCTCTGCGATGCAGTTCACGGACCTCAGACTTCAGAGTCACAACCAGCTACGTTTAAATACCAGTGGTGGTGTTTACGAGGCAATCCCGGCACGGGCACGCAGCCAATTGGTGTCCTCAACTTGCTCTTGCCTACAACTAGCTACAGTAAACTACTTTGCAAAGTTGCTATGATGACACGGTCAACATGTCTTCACGCCTAGTTCAGGGCCCGTAATAAGCTGGCTGCGTAATTAGTTTCAGGTATACTCAGGGAGTTTCAGTTCACCTGATGACGGGGATGCTCTCCCTCTCCCTTGTCCCCGCCTGGTAACAGAACTTCTGTCGCTGGGATCAACGCCACCAGAGCAGCCTGGCAAGAACATTCCCCAGCTCTGCATGATGAAGCACGTCCTTTTCCGCTGTAGAACCGCTCACGGTCGGTAGCCATTTATTTTGTGTATGTCTCCTGCCTGCTTCCCCCCTAGACTCTACACTCAAGCGGTACAGTAAGCCCAACCATGTCTGTCCTGTCACCCACTAAATATTCTAGGGCTCGCAGACGGCAACACGGCACCTGGCCTCTGCCAGGGAAGGTCATGTGAAGGAAAGTGTCAGCAAGCATGCCTTCCAGAGGTCCCTTCACCGCTGAGCTTGGGATCTGACTCTGGACACGTTACATAACCCTTCTCTAGCCTGAGGCTCCTCTTGAATAAATAGGAATAACTGCACTTAAGTACCCAGGGTTATGAGAACTAGTAACAAATTCACAACCTAGGAAAGAGCCTCAACAAACATGAGCTGCCTTTATTGCTCCGATCCACGACCGATGGGGCAGACACATATACAGAGCGCTTTCTATGCGCCGAGCGGTATGTTGAAAGCACTCGCCGTGTATTACAGTAACGTAATGTACACTTACAACAAACCCGGGAAGAAGCAAACAGTATCCTTCCCGTCTACAGACTCGCAAACAGGCTATGGGAGGTCACACGTTAGTCCAGGGTCCCGCGGCCAGGAAAACAACGGCAGGAACCCAGGTCTGGGGTGCCAGCACTGGCAGCCCTTCCCTGACTGCTACCATTTGCCTATGACGCCCACGCATCCAAGACACAAGTTTACAGTCGTTACATGAAGTGTGTGCTACCATTCGCTATGAGAGACAATTATCACAAACCCCTTGCACAAACAACGTAAGAAATGACACGTCCCTGGACCCAAACACGAGGAATTCTGCAGAAACCCTCCCCAGCACCGCTAGATTCAAGCATGTTTCTTATCTGTTTCTATGTCTGCACAGGGCTTCTTAAAGCAGAAAGTACCTACGAGACTCGTTACCTCCGTTCCTTTCAAACCTTCCACAGTGGCCAAAACCACCGCCAGGAATAAATACAACTCATCAGTTCTACAATGGCACCCATGTGATCAAGAACCGAAAGCCTGTTCCATTTCAGAAAAACCCGGGACCCTTTCTTTTCTTGTTACTCTAAAGTCCCAGCAGAGCTCATTATTTTGCTGCCCCGGCAAGCACACATGGAAGAGACGTCAACTGTGGCAAAGTGTCGTGTCGGGGGAAACTGAAAGGGCCGCGCCCCAGAGCATCTCACGGCACTCACCCCAACCCGCGTGTCTCTGCTGACCTCTGGTGCTGTCCCTGAGGACCGAGCCAAGGGGCAGAGGGCCGTTCCACCAGCACCAACTTCCCAAGCATCGTCAGCAACAACACTTTATTTTACGAAAGATGTGTACTCCTACGGCCACCTGCAAAGACGGCGTCCCGGCAAGCCAGAATCGCCGGCATTCATCCGAGAGGCGGCTCCGGCCACACGGCCCAGCGAGCGAGCGTTAAGGCCTCCGGGGGCCTCCCCCGACCCGGCCCCCGGCACCCAGCCCGCGGTCCCGTGGCTTCAGGTCTTCTGGTGACCGCTGGAAAGCGCGGCCCACCCTCCACTCTGCCCCCC